AAGTCAGTTAACAATAGCAATATACTGAAGATGGAGCAAGCTTGTGTTTTGGTGCTCCAAAGACTACAGGGCTGTACAGACCACCCCAAAGGAGCAGCTCTGCACTGCTCCTTTCGGCACAGGATTAGGGCTGCATGAACTGCAGGCCCGATCTGGTGCTTTGCTGGCCAAAAAAGGAACGGCAAAAGCTGCCCTTGCTGTTGTGGGGGCAGCTTTTCAGTGTTTCTTTGGCACAGTGTGTTTAAATGCTGCACCAAAGAAATGGCATGATGCCACCCACCACCTGGTCAGGCATGTGGCATGATGCTGGCATCAGAGCGGACACCAAGCCCCCACTCCACCCCAATGCTGATGCTTTTCGCCAGTCTGTAGAGGCCCTATGACACAAAGCAATGGATTCAAACTACAGGAAAAAAGATTCCACCTAGACATTAGGAAAAACTCCATGTTCAACTATGGAATATGCTGTCTGAGTGTGATGGAGTCTCCTTCTTTGGAGGTTTTTAAACAGTGTCTGGATGGCCATTTGTTGGGGAGTGCTTTGATTGTGAGTTCCTACATGGCAGGGGGTGGAGTGGATGGCCCTTGTCGTCTCTTCCAGCTCTATGATTTTATGATGTATCTCATTTTAAACCATCCATCATGCTTTAGCCTAAGATGAAAGGCCCTCTCCTCCATTTCAACCAACAGAGGGAGAGCAAAATAGCTACACTATATCTGCTGGATTTTATTCCCTTTTCTACTGCCATTCCCTCTTCCTTGTACTTCATGTCTTATTTAGATTATAAACTTGGGGGCAGGGAACAGTCAGATTATCTTTGAGCTGGCCAAGGAGTTTTTTTGGATGAAAGGAAGTGTATAAATACTGTAAACAAATAATAAATAAATGCAATAAACCAAGTGTAGCAAATTCAGGTTCCAGTTCTTAACACAATATCTGGAAAGCAAGTTCCCGAAATATAACAGGATTTACTTCTGAACAGATATGCAGTTGTGCTCTTCATCGGGTCTAGATCTAGGCCTGTGATTTTCATCATTTCTACTCTTGCATTGTATCAATGAATACCAAAGTCAAGCTCATCCATGCCCCAGTATTTCCAGTTTCAATGTATGGTTGTGAAAGCTGGACCATGAAGAAAGCTGACAGGAAGAGAACCAACTCATTTGAAAAGCAGTGCTGGCTGATTGCAAAAAAAGAACAAATGGATGGGTTCTAGAGCAAGAAGAAGAGCCCTCCCTCCATTCCATCCGATTTCATCTGGGGGAGAGTCACTAGGCCCAGCACCATCGGGCCTGGAATAAGAAGAACCCTTACTTCTTAAAGGACGGGTGGGATTTGGAATTTTTATGTTCTGTTTAGATTGTATTAATATATTTGTATGGAAATTTTAATGTTGTAAGCCACCCCGATTGCTCTGCAGAGGGGCGGGATATAAATTATTATTATTATTATTATTATTATTATTATTATTATTATTAGAACAAACAACGCCTGAACTCTCCCTAGATGACACAATGATTAAACCAAGAACATACTTCAGACATATTATGAGAGGATACAACTTACTGGAAAAGATGGTAATGTGCAGGAAAATTGGAGGCTGTAAGAAAAGAGGAAGACCACATTACACGTGGGTAGTTTCAGGTTGGCAACACCTGAGCAAGACCATTAATAACAGGTTTGATGTGAAGTCGAAGGCTTTTTGTGGGTTTTCTGGCCTATGAGGCCATGTCCTAGAATAATTTATCCCTGATGTTTCACCTGCATCTATGGCTGGCATCTTCAGAGAAATAACAGGTTTCCTTGGAAATCTTTCATTCATAGGGTCACCATAAATCAAAGCTGGCTTGACAGCAGTGAACAACTACAACTGCTCCTGCATCTCATTTATAGAAGCAAAGAATCAACTTCCAATAGGAAGGGGAACCTCTGATGATCTGGACAATATTTTCCCCTGCCTAGCTGCCACAAAACACACTTCTGGCCCACTAAGAAAATTCTGTGTCCTAAACACAAATCTGGCCACTCTTTCTTTCTTACTTTCTTTCTTTCTTTTCTTTTTAAAGGTCTAAACCAGCTGGGGGCTATGTTTAAATGGCAGAATGAACTCCCATAGGCTTGCAAGAGGTGGGATTTGCGGTTCTGGGACCAAAAGAGGAGGTGTCAGTGCAGGGATATCAAGGACATCTATCCTAGGAGTGGGTGTACATGCATCCTAGGACATAAACTTTGTCCACTTCAATTTACTTAGTATTTTCCATGCCTTTCTTCATCATAACAGGTTTCCTTCTATACAGTTTTCTCAACACAGTGGGAAGCTGTGACTTAAAACTGTGAGGTTGTTTAACAGGGTCAACAACTTGAACAAATGCCACTCTGTTGACATCGATATGTAAAGAGAGAAAAGGCAGCGGTATGCAAATAAAACGCTTGCACTTTGTGGATGTTGGATGGGAGCCCTCACATATATGG